TTTTTTTTTTTTTTTTTTTTTTTTTTTTTTTTTTTTTTTTTTTTTTTTTTTTTTTTTCTACGAGTTTGGCAAGAGACCGGAAATGAGAGGGTGTGCGAGTCGAATGATTAATCGACCGAGGCCTTATACATCTTAAATAATCGTTGTATGAACGAAACGAGTTGTTTGATCAAACGTAGCAAGTGGAGTATTTGTTTGCCATTATTTCACAAACATTGAATTAGGTTTTTTTTTTTAAAGAAGACTTTATCAAGATATAATGGAAATGAAAAAAAAAAAAAATTGAATTTGAATACGTACATTTTATCCCGACAAATTCGACAGTCATGCAAAAGAAAAAAAAAAAGCACACGTTGATGTCTTTATTTGCGGACAATCGGAAGTCTCGCGCAACATCGGGCCTTTGTTCCCGAGCCCAATATCGTTTCGATGCCGATCGCATAAATTACGACACAAATTTTTCAATCAACGGTACGAAGGAAAAAAAGGGTCTCGTGTAAAAAAAGCACAACCTCTCGCAGCTCCACAAGCTGCAACAATCAAGCAACCATCCTATATACCGTGCATTCCTCCTTCCCCTCTCCCCACCCTATCGAGCAAAAACCTCGAGCTGGCACGAAAAATCGCAATTAACTCTTAATGAGGCACAAACACAATATGCAGTCCCGGTGTACGCTCGGCTTCTCAGAATTCGTTGGCGAGTTCCAGTCGCGCCAGATCACAAACTCTCTGGGACTGCAGCACTCCAGGTCCGGCCAGGTGGTCACGCTGCTGGCAGCCACCGGGGCCATGCAGAACCGCTACCGCATCCAGTCGAGCGACGCCCTGGCCGTGCCTTTGGTCTTTGAGATGCTGATCGCGCGGCTCAAGGACAAGTCCCCCAAAACAGCTGAGAAGCTCAGCTGTGGGCTCAGCCAGCAACATCTGAAACTCGTCCAGGACAACATGGACGCGCACTTTGAGTCGAGGCTCAGGGCGAGGGCTGCCTTGGTGAGTTTAAACGTGCACTTGGGACAACTTTTTTCTAGGTATCATAAAAGATAATATACAGGGACAAAGACTTTTTTTTTGTAAAAATCGATAAAAATCGGTAAAAATCGGTATCGGGAATAGCAAGAAACTGTGCGCGGAAACGAGTACCCAATCGTATGAAAATAACTTTATATCTTGTACAAGCATATTGAGAGCAACAATACCGTGTTCGCGGAACTCGAGTATCGAATAATCTCTCTGTAATATCTATCGGAGCAAAACGATTTTCTCAAACGCACCAGACCATAAACAAACAAACAAACAAACAAACAAACGTGCAGCTAACGCGCCGTCTCGTCAATGCTGTTACATAAAAACGGTCGGCGAGCAACGTCGCGCCGATTCATCTCGAGAGCCGTCGAAGGGAAAAATCGGTTGCGCGGCATCGGAGATTCAAGAGTAGCCGTCGCGTCGCCCAAAGTCCGAATAAACATCGTTGACTGTATACTTGCGAGACAGCCTGGCCGATTCCTCACCAACACACGCGCGTACCACTCTGTATTATCATTATTATAATTATTGTTATATCACACGACGCAAAGAAAATAAGGAGGAAACAAGAGCCCGTGCAACGACGGCGATGACGATTAAAGACTATACATAGCGCATTTGGTGTATATGGGTACGGAGTTTCGCGATTTATCATCGGGCGATTAATTAGCCTCGTTTTTCTCTCGTTCCTTCTTCGTCTTCTTCTTCGCTTTTATTTTCTCTCGAAATGCCTTTGCATGTGCCGCCACCGCCGATACGACCCCCACTAATGCGCCACTGCCACCGCTGCACAACAACAACGATGACGATGGGGAGCGCAGAAGGAGATCGGCCTGCTGACGACCCAGTTGAGAAACATCGAGAAGAGAATGCTGCGTGGCATGAGGGAGCGGAATTCGAGATCGCTCGACGCTACCGGACTCCCGGCCCTGCTCGACTCCACGTATCGCGCGATCTTCGCGCACCTCGACCAGATAGAAGCCGCGCGAGCGGTAATTGCTCGCTTTTTCTCTCCCCCCCCCCTCGTTTATTTTACTTTTTTTTTTCACCCACTTGCATCGCGCTGCCACTGGACTCGAGAATCGGTGAAGGAATATTCTCGATCGTGCTGTGATTTATTTTTTCAACATAGTGGTGAATATTATGCCAAAATAGCGTTGCCAAAATCGTGTACAAAAAAAAAAAACGTTTTTCCCAACCAGAGTTTGGTTGTTAAAAATGAAGAAGACAAAGAGAAAAAAATATATTATCCGTCGTCTCACTTGGAAATCCAATTATGTATACGCTCTTCGTACGCGGCGATCAATGTTGCGGACGCGCAACGATATTACACCGTACGGTGGCTCATTCTCACGGGCCGAGTAATCACGGGCGCGATTACGCAAACGAGTCGACGCTCGTCGCGGCATTAACCTTGTAAGAAACAAAAAATCTGCAAACAGGAAAAAAAAGAAAAAAAAAAAAAAAAAGTTCCTTCAATTTCACCGGGTTTATGCGCCCGTACACGTGTATTTAACGACTTGAGCGTAAGAGCCAAAAATTTAGCCATTTAATACTAATGGAGCTTGGCTTTGGATAATAAAGTATTTACGCCAGAGGTATAAGTACCATGCGTGTGTTGCATTAAAAAAAAAAAAAAAAACGCGGATTTGATAGCTCCTCGTGCCGTTTTGAGGTGCATCGCTGTATCATGTAGTACCTGTATGCACGAAAATTTAAAGGTAATACGGTTCTCAGCGATTTTAAGGCTCTCTCGTCGAGATCGAGAGTCTGGATTTTTATGAGCAAAAGAAGATTTTGGTTGTTTTTTTTACGTTCGTGGGCAACATCCTTTTTTTTATAAGTTAGTGTATTTTGGATTGTGTTTTTTTTTTAATTAAATCTGCCGTGGCCGAGCTTAATTATATGGTCCGATGGAAAAAGCGCTATCTCGAATTTGTTGGTATTATGAATAAAAAAATGTTATACAACGATAATTGATGACCAGGAAAGGAGGTATAAGAGTATAGCAAGTATTTTGCTACATATATACATATAGCCAGTAGGATTGTTTCTTCAAGGAATAAAGAGGTATGTATTGCAGGTCGTTGACGACTTTAAAAAAAAAAAAAATAAAATAAAATAAAATGTTGCCAAGTGTATGAAATTTTTTTCCTTCTTTAGTCTATCAAAAAGGTCAGATAAAAGAGAAAGAGAGAGGTCGACTGTATGACAGATATGAAATTGTCCTCGAGTACAAAACTGACTATAAGCTTGAAGTCGGTTCCCACTCACGTTTTTTTTTTTTCAAAATTGCGTTGAAAATAAATATATGCCTACGCAATCGGATTTTAATGAGATTCATCGTCTACACATAGGAAGTTTTTGTTTACCTCAAACGGANTCAAAGGCTAAAATTTTTTTTTTTTTTTTTTTTTTTTTTTTTTTGTCACACGCGTTTACATATAGAATTTCTTGTTTTATTGCATCTTTTGGATAATCCACTCTTTTTGCGAATAAGGCATGAAATCGGTAAAATCGGTATGAAAATAATCGTTGAGTAGTAGATTATTATGCACCAGGTGGGAATGACATATTTTTCCTGTACCATACAAGTGCCAGAGATGGAAAAAAAAGAAATAAAAAAACAGTATACATATATTTGTACATTGAGTACTATTTCAACCGATTTGTGTCTTTCGATTACAGTGGATCTCAGGATGAGCGATTGGCCATTTTAACACCAACAAAACTGATTGTCTACACGGTTACGTTGAAGAAAGGCACAACGGAACATGGTAAGTTATGATCACGTTTCACGTTTCATGAGACCAATAAATAAAATGGTCAAAGCCACGTTTATCTTATCATGTGACATTCGTCGAAAGAATCGTTCTAACCGATGCGCCTACCATGGCAATGTCTGCTCGTGACATTTGCTCTTCAAGACTAAAATGTTGCTGGGAATAAACAAAACTGATCTACTATTTATTTTGTTCTTGTGATTATAATAACAAAGCGTGAACAATTGAAAAAGCGTCACGTGTTTGTTGGCGTCATTTGCCTATACATCCGAAAATAAGAAAAGATCTGCTTTAACCAAAAGTGTTCCCATACGGTTTCAATAGAGAAACATCATCAGATCCTTAAGATGGTGTTTGTGTCGAAACTTTTTTTGACATATCTTGCAGCCGTGGAAAGAATTGGTACACCAACGCAGTTTGGAAAACAACAGTAATAAAAAAAAGACGTGGACTCGTTGAAGAGCAAAACCAACTTGAAGGAAATGTCAAAAGTTTTGCAAAGCAAAAAGAGACAGGCAGCCTCTTCGTGGTTATTCTCTTGAGATTCTTTTTGTTTGGCTTCCACTCGAGAGGATCATTGTCGTGCCAGTACTTGCACTTACTTGGTATTATTGGAGGAGATGCGCCGAAAGGAACCGCAACCTCGAGTGCATTGAATACACCTCTTGAGAAAGAAAAACACTCGACAAATGTCAGTACCCATATTTTTTACTCCCTTTACTTTCTTTTTTTTTTATGTTACTTTTGGCTTAACTGGACATAGCAGGTTGTATCCTTTTAATGGAAAGTACTTTACTACTGTTAATTCTTTAATAAAATATGATGCAAAAATTAATTGCTCAAATTTTAATGGATTGGGCTTCAATCAAGTCAAGTTTTTGCATCAACCACTATGGTACATGTTGTATTATCAACTTGGTCCTCTACCGATCTCGTAACAATAAAATAATTTTTTGTTCCTTTTTTTCATTATTCAAGATAATGCTGTAATGTCTAATCATATTGCAACACAACGTTCTTTGTAGAAGAACTTTACGTATCCCGTACAGTAAGATTTAAAAAAATTAAAACAGGTGATTATTTGGTACAAAAAATAAGACAAGTCAGTTGCAGCGTTGCAACAGCGAGTAAGTGTACGACAGGCCTCGCGCGTCATAGGTACGCGCCGCAATAATGTCACACGACGAGGTGTGTACGAACAGTGTTTGAGCTCCGGTGTGCTCAACACACAGCATCTCAAAAGGTTTTCTATACCGATCACGTTCTGGAACAGCATTTTTATGCTAAACATCGAACGACACCATAGCTCACTGAGAGTATGGCACGCTTCGCCGCTGTTGTACACAACGAGACTGACTACTCGGATATTTTTCACGACATTCTATTGTCCAAGCCTTGTGTACAATTAGTCGCGTGTATGACGGAGATTTCTCTCATCGTCGCGCTATGATTGACGACCAAATCCGTCCAAGTGACGAAAGGTTTTTACGTGTACTGCACATACGAGGGGGAAAAAAAAGATCAATAGATCAAAAACAAAGAAAAAACTCGACATCGGGCAAACAGTCCATAGCCGAGCTTTTGCCGAACATGGCAAAGCGAGTAGGTATATATNAAAAAAAAAAAAAAAAAAATCAAGAGATGGCAAGTTTTTTTTTCTCAACAAGTTCGAGATAGCGCTATCTTTTCCCTCGAGTCGATAAGAGCGATTCGCAAGGTGTGTGTATACTCGGTGCAGGGTATACATATCCATCGTTTGATTGCAGGAACAAAAGCAAGCCGCGTACGAGCTCAGGAGCTCGCTGAAGCTCGTACTGCAGATACTGAAGTTGAACCTGCCGGAGGACACCTACAATATGGTCGAGGGAGCCCTATCCTTCGAGCCCCAGCATCGAGACGACCTCGTACGTATATGCATATACCTCGTACACGCACGTATATATATACATCATACACACGCACGAAAGCTCAAGAAACGACCTTGCCTCGTATACACGTGTATATATTATGTATATACTTACACGTTATGAGTACCATTTTTGTTTGCACGCGCGCACATAATAATATATACCCACACGTACATACGTAAATACAACCGGTGCTGCGATCGTTTTATTCGAGTGTGCGCACCGATCGTTTTCGCGCGTCTTTTATAAGCGTGCGAGTACTATACACGATTTACTTTACAACGTGGCATTGTGCAGGCTCTTATCGTCGATACAGCTGGACCGCAGTTGCCTTTTATTGTATACACCCATGGGTATGTAATATACATGTGTATATTGTACGATGTCCTTTTGCTCCCGCGATGGTGCTAACGAACTTTGATACGGTACGTTATTTGTGTTTGTAATGTGTACTACATACGTATATACATGCTACTCGTGGGTTATACCGTATGTATATGTATATCCATTTCTTGTACGTTTCTATTATTAGAAGTACTTTTATACCAGCTTCCTCTACTATATTTAGCTTCTCGTATGAGCTACTCACCGATACTTACCGTCTTTTTTTTTTTTTCTCTTTTTTTGCGTTTTATTTTACATACGGTACTAATCAGATCTTACTTTTTGCACCGTGCGAGTTCTGGATCATACATGTATAAATGCGTGTGCATTAATTTTTACAAAAGACATCGATATCATGTTCAACCAACAATCGGTACACGAGTCATAACGATGTCTTTTTTGAGTTCGCTGCGATTAAATATCTACCGTGAATACTAATTTTTTTCTTTTTTATCCAACTGAATCATCGTTCCTTCCTATTCGTCTTCTTTTGCCTTTACCTTTTAAACGTAACTCTCCTTTTTTTTCATTCTCCGGTACACTTTACGAAATCCAGTTGCTTTGGTTTTCACAGATGACTCCTTCCCTCCGCAAACCACCGCAAACAAAAACCAAATCCAAAGCAGTAACCATCAGCTCAAAGAATTATCCTCGCAACCCACGTAACAAAAGCACCATCTTCTTGCCCTCAAATCCCGAGCAGCATCGCAATAGTTATACGCGAGCTCGCAATCACCGATTTCACTGATTTTTGCGCTTATCCCACCACCCCTGGCTCATTTTAATCGTCACCCCCATCCCCTTGCTACTCGCTGCTCTATTCTTTGGACCGCCGAAAGGGAAAGAAACGTTCTCCACTCCGCCTCGCGGCCTTGGCGAGTTTTACACACTTGCTCGCAGTTGGCTGTGCACTTAATAGTCTCTCCATCACAGCTCCGATACGTGTATATATACACATGTACAGTGTGGCCGCTAAAAAAATCGGCGCATCGTTAATTAAGGGCTCTCTTTCTACGGGTTCATTGCACAGCCTTTTTAATCATCTAGAGCGCATACTTTTGATT